GACTGGATTAGCTGACTGCCATTGAAAGGAGACGTGATATGGAGTACCGAGAGAGAGCCCCTCATTTTCAAAATGACAGATTTCTCGTTCATCAGAATTACTGCTGGAATTACCATCTCATTCACAAAAGGTACTCCCTAGAACTTGATCTGACCACTTTCTTATTTGTCTTGATCCAGAAGGAATCTAGTGGGGAACCTACCCCTTTCAGACTTGATAACAAATGGCTCAGAACAGATGGTTTCAGAGGCTTGGTCGAATCGACTTGGCCTTCTAAGAATTTCAGAGGCACCACCAGTTTCAAACTTGCCAGTAAGCTCAAATATATTAAGGAAGAGATCAAAAAATGGGTCATCACTACCGGTAGGGCAGAAGAACTGGAAATTAGAAGCATTATGTCAGAAATTGAAATTATGGACAATGTTGAGGGGATTTTGCGTCTCACTGATACTGACAGAGAGAAGAGGACACTTCTGAAACTCAATCTAGCCAACAAATTGAACATGGAAGTTATCTCTCGGAAGTAAAAATCACGAGAGAAATGGGTTATGGATGGTGATAGAGACACTAAATATTTCTACTATTTGGCTAATCACAGGAGAAGTAACTATGCGAAAGAGCTCCTCGTTGACAACAAAAGTTTCAAGAGGAACACCACCATGAGAGAAGTTGCTAAAGACTATTTCCTTGACCTGTATTCTGAGGAATCTTGTGCAAGACCTAAACTGAACAACCTAAATTTTGCCAAAATTGACAATCAAGCTATTATGGATTTGGAAGCTGATTTTAGTGAAGAGGAAATTTTGGCCAGCATCCGTGCTTGCAATGGGGACAAGGCCCCAGGACCCGATGGATTCAACCACAAGTTTTTTCAAGAATATTGGGACATGGTGAAGCAGGATTTCCTTGAGTTCTTCAATGACTTTCACAAAAATTCCTCCTTTGTAAAATCAATCAACTCCACATTTCTTATCCTTATCCCTAAATAGAAGGATGCTAAGCAAATCAAAGACTTTAAACCAATAAGCCTTATAGGCAGTATCTACAAAATATTATCAAAAGTTCTAGCCAACCGCTTATCTAAAGTGTTATACCCCA